TCAGATTAAATCGAACCTGATGAAATTGTGTTTTCGTAGGCCAAATATGATCTAATGTTGGCAATTTCAGGTATTAACCTCATAGTTCCACAGGCCTTTTAATCTAATGGTCACTAGTAAGTGAATTTAATATTTATAAATTCCAAAGTAAATGATGTAAAGCAGCTCTTTGGCCAGCAGGGAAGCCTTGGATTAGATGAGGTAATGAGTGCCAAAGTGCTTTATAGACTACGTAACGTAATAAACACTAGGTAAATGCCAAGTATTCTTTTGAATTAGTCCTAAACATGTAGTATTCTAACCCAAAGATTCTTACCTTATATATTCACTATATGCACAACACTGAAACTTTTTAAAAAAATTATATAAATTCCACAGAATGCATTCCTTTTCTGCACCCCTCCCCACCCATACTGGGTGGAACCCAGGGCCTCACACAGGCTAGGTGAGTGCTCTATCACTGAGCTACATCCCCAGCCCTCACTGAATGTGTTTCTTTCTTTCTTTTTTAAATTTATTTTTTAGTTGTAGTTGGACACAATACCTTTATTTTATTTATTTATTTTTATGTGGTGCTAAGGATCGAACCCAGGGCCTCGCACATGCTAGACGAGTGCTCTACCCCTGAGCCACTGAACGTGTTTCTAATATGAGGTTTCACAAGAAAAAGTTTGCTCTTAATGCGCTATTCATGTTGATTCCTCTGGATATATTCAGATGGAGTTAATGTGCTCCTCTCTCCCCTGGCAAGGGGTATCTTTGAAGACCAAAATTTATAATAAGGGATTGCACTATATTAAAGTTGCTATGTATTTGTGTTGGGGGAAGAGGTGGAGCGACCATCCAGATACAGAATACGGAAGAGCATGTCAAGGCCTTGCTCTATTAAATAACACACACAGGACCTGGTCCTGCAAGACTGAAGGATTCCCTTCGTTTTTAGCTATTAATCTATTATGAAAATGTGGTCAAAAGTTAGACAAATGTGCAAGATGTGGTCCATTCCTTCCAGAAACCCCGGGCTAATTCCAGCCTACTCTCTAACAACAGCTTTCTCCTGGTGGGGATGTGAAGGACACAAATGGCCAGAAAGCTTGTGTCCTTCCCATTTTACCATGATACAAGTGGATATTATTCATTCGATTCTCATAGAGTCAGGTCCCAGGATGATTGTTTCTATCTAGTGCCTGGGAACAGTGACTTAGCCACCTTTTACTTCACAGATGAGGATGCCATTAACATGTCATCCCCAAAGCTAATCTTTATTACTAGAAGCTATGTGATATGTGAAGAGACCCTGAAATCAGTAACCAACTGCTACACTTGGCACAAATGAGCACTTTATAACCCGAGTAGGCCCATGTCCTAGAGTCAAGTTCGTTTATTTCTTTTCAATGTATATTTTCATAACAAGATGAGTGTGGATCATCTGCTGCAGCCTCTAATTTATTTACCTAAGGCATCACCATCTTCCAAGATGAAACCACATTGTTTTGTAGGGCAACAAGGGAGATCCAGGACTTGCTAATTCAGAAGGCCAGATTCAGTGGGGAAGCAAGAGCAGCCAGAAGAACAGGGAATCATAAAAGCATCGCTAGGGAGGGGCTTTGTCCATGCTAAGCAGGGACAATCATCTTGCTGGGGAATATCGCTCCCAATAGCAACTGTGCCTTCCCTATCCACAGCAGCCAACAGTGGGAAGATGGCTTTGTTTATTGCTTAATCTATCACTGTTGAACTGCTTGCCTCAGGGAGGCTCGATTAAAGATAGATTGAAAGGTAGTATCTGTCAATTGAATAAACACAGATGGTTTTCCACAGCAAAAATTGATTTTTTTTCTCACCAAAGACATAAGTGCTAAACGTGATTATCTTTGGAAGCCAGGCATGAAATGTCTCAGCTCCAGCCCCTGCCACACTTTGCCCTGGCAGAGAGGTGATATATATAGGTCTTAGAACTCTCTCATGTGATTTTAGGTTTTCAGGGGGAAATACAACCTTGATTTCCCTAGAGAGGCCCAATTAAGTCATTACTACCAAGAAGGTCTGAGTTAAACCTTGAGCTAATTCACAAAATGGTTTTACCATTTCTTGGTCACTGGTTGGCAAAGATCTCCTCCAATGTTTTTATTTATTTAAGAGTCTCAAGGAAGTAACAAGATTTGCCTAAAGACACATAGACCTCAATCTTCTCATTCTTTTTCCAGAAGCTTGGGAAGAGATGTTATGATGTTAACTGAAGGAAACAAGGAGAAGAGTCCTGCTCCCAAAATGTCTCTGGAAGCAGGCAGATCAGAAATCCTCAAACTAGCACCCAGAATTCCAAATACTGGAAATCTATGCACCCAGAATACTATATATGTTAGCAACGAACTAGGCCTGAACTCATTCATATGCAAAGGTTTTGAAGGAAGCCAAGGGCAAAATTTTGGAACAGTAGTTCAGTATAACAGATGTATGGAAGTCGAAGGGTGACTAGGAAGAGTATCCTTTGAATATAATGAGAAGATTGAGCAATATGTTTTACATTTCTTTCAGCTCTAATTCCAAAACATTGAGCATTCATACAAATGATTCCAAGGAGTCCCTTACACAGTAGAATGGCCTGTCTCCTTTGATACCACCAGTGTGCACATGAGTATGAAATGGTGGTTAAGAGTTATTATTGCAAGAGATGCAGAAATAGGGCAGCTGTAACAAGTGAGCTACAGTTGGGCATGGTGGTATTCACCTGTAACCCCAGTAACTCAGGAGACTGGGGCAGGAGGATTGCAAGTTTGAGGACAGCCTCATCAATTTAATGTGGCCCTAAGCAATTTAACAAGACCCTGTCTCAAAATTAAAAATTAAAAGGGTGGGGAGCAGGGCTGTAGCTCAGCGGAAAAATGCCCCTGGGTTCAATTTCCAGTACCAAAAAAAAAAAAGAAGAAGAACTATATAAATGCTTTCAACATAGAACTAGAAATAATGAAGAAACTCAGATAATTTTAGCAATGGAGGGATTTAGCACTGTCTTCTCATTTTGGAGATGAAAAGAAAATGAATTTAGGGAAGAGAGTTTTGTTGTTGTTGTTCGTTACTAGGGACTGAACCCAAGGGTGCTTTACCACTGAGCCACATCCCCAGCCCTTTTTTATTTTTTATTTAGAGACAAGGTTTATCTGAGTTGCTTAGGACCTCATTAAGTTGCTAAGGCTGGCTTTGAACTTGCCATCCTCCTGCCTCAGCCTCCCTAGTTGTTGGGATTACAGATGTGTGCCACTGCACCTGCAAAGAAGGGAAATTGATAGCCAAAATCATATAGCTAGAGGCAGAGTTGGGACAGCAAGACATCTTGCTTTTTTGTGCTACATTGTCTGTCTTGCTTTTCAAACTGTGCAGTGTAATTATGGGTTACCAAAAAAGGCGTGGTGTGTATAGTACATCAGGCCAGGTAGAAAGCAGCAGTGAAGAGGCTTCGCTCCAGCTAATACAATTGTAAACACAGGTCTTTACAACGGTCTTAGTCTTAACTCTTAAAGCTCCACAGAAAATGAGTGCTTTCCAGTATCAAGAGAAAAAATCTTTTCAAATGTGCCAGGTGGAAAAGATTGCTGACTGTTTCTATCTCACCTAGGGAGAGGAAACCTTAACTAAAATTGCCAATTGCCTTAGGGTGCAAGGGATACACATTAGGGCACATTTGCAGAATTTGGATTCATCTGAAATTGAGTTACATGGTTGCAATCTGTCAGAATTGGCCTGTCTTTGAGTCAAGAAAAACTGGAATCAGGGTTTCAAAAGTAAGATAGCCCAATCATTTTTACAGCCAATTTTATGCACTTAGAAAAAAAATTCAGTCTAGTCTTTTTTCTGCACATGGGCTGTTTCATAAATACTCCTCTGAAGTGGAAACAAATCTGTACCTGTTTTTAAAATCTATTCTTAAAGGTAAGCCCCCTACAACTTTCTTGTACATATTCAGACAGAAATATATGTTATTGAAATTGTATTAATTTGCCCCCACAAACTTGTAGGGGAAGCATACATTAAATATAAACATGTTTCTATTTCTACTCAAATATAATCCCTTCTTTCTGATATTGGAAGCAGTGCTTCAATGTAACAGCTAAATCTACGTGAATACATGTGGCTCAAAATCTATGTACTGGGCTGGAAGTGTGGCTCAGTGGTAGAGCATTTGCCTGGCATGCCCAAAGCCCTGGGTTCCATCCCAAGCAGTGCCAAAAAACAACAACAAAACAAACAAACAAAACCTGTACACCAAGAATAAATATCATCCTTTATGCACTTATAAATATTTTAAATATTTGAGGAATTGACAGCATGGTCAACTTTTTCCACAAGAGGATTTATCTTCTATGGTAGAATGGCACTATGAGAATTAAAGTTGGGTGATAGTCACAATGTGAGATATCACTCTATAGCCACACATTGATCTTTACATATGTGAATGTGTTTGATTGTATTTTTGCTTTAAAATTATGTGTTGAGTATTCCTCCTATTCCTCGGTAACATTTTTTTAAAATCAATATTTAGAGAGGTTTTTTTTTTCCTATTTCCATGCGTGGGTAGTTATTCAAATTGAGGTTTGTCTTATCTTAAACTGGCTTGCAGTGCTATAAATCTGGAGAGCATTGTTCATATATGAGGCTTTTCATAGGGTCTACTTTTCAGGTTAGGGATGTAAATAAAATTTCTTCAGTTTATGTATTACAGATATTCCTGGAAAAGGAATTGAGTCATATTTTAAAAGCATTAGCTTCTGCTTAAAGAAATGACAAGGTGAAGTTTCCCAAAATAGACAGTCAAGGCCTGATTTCCCTGTTTTATCCATCTAGGAGGCCAGATTGTTTCTGTGACTTAATTGGCCATGCCTATATATATCAGGTCTTGATGCTTCAAATAATAATTTCTTGTTTGTTTCCTTTTCTTAAAAGGGGAGGGGTTTGCTTTCCATGCAAAGATTCATTTACAAGTTGAAATGGGAAAGCTAAGCCTTACTTAGAAACACAACAGTGATCCATTTGGGCCCCTCCCCACCCACCTACACCAGTCAAGAGCCCTCTGGAGGGTACAGAGACAACTACAGATTCAAGGGCTGGGGCTTCTGGCCAGCCATAAAGTAAAGCCAGGAGTCCCTAGGGGGTCAAGGTCAAGGGTTACTCTAAACATACCCCTCGTGACAGATGTTTCCATTGATCAGGCTGAAGGTGGCCACGGAGGGGTTGGTACTCTTGAAGGAGGTCATGCAGGTGGTACTTCTGCCAGTGCTGTGGGACCGGCTCATCAGGCCAGGCCGGCAACAGAGGAGCTGGGTGTTGAACTGTTTCCTGAAAGTCTTGCTTAGCAGGTAGAGGGCAAAGGGGTTCACGCAGGAGTTGGTGAAGGCCAAGAGGCGGGCACAGATACTGGTGACAAAGTGGAGCATGGAGGTATCCACTTCAGAGTAGTGGTAGGAACGGTACAGGTAGATGACATGATTGGGGAGCCAGCAGAAGGCGAAGAGGCCCACAAACACCAGCACTGTCTTGGCAAGCCGCTTCCGGGATTCCATCTAAGGAGAGAGTGACATGGAGAGTGACAGAGGGATCAGGGGCCAGTGTCAGAGGAAAGGAGATGAAGATTCAGACACAGGCAGGGAAAAGCAATTAGCTCACAAAGCCACAGAAAAGGGGTTCAATAGGAGAGGACAAGAGAATCCAAAAATCGAGACAAGAACAAACGAGAGAGAGAGAGAGAGAGAGAGAGAGAGAGAGAGAGAGATATTCAGCAACAGAGATGGACAACAGGAAGGAGAAAGCCACGAGGCAGAATAGAGTTAGAACATGCTGCTGAGAACAGATCTTTAAACAAAGTTGATTACATGCTTGAATGGATTGCACAATGAAATTCTAGTAAATGCTCTCTTTTTCCTCGGGAGAGCAGGGGTGCAGTTTATCAGCCATACGACTTTATGCCTTTCTTGGCTCTACAGTTAATAATTTCTTATTCCCTCCAATGCTCAAAAAAGCAGCCAGCTTTGTTCTTCCTCACTGGCTAAGTCAAGATAACTGCCTATTATTATTTTTAATCTCAAGTTATTTCTAGGCTTTTCTATATAGGAAGGTAATTAGGCGAAGTGGGATGAACACCTCCTTTTGCTCCCAGCTCCCTGTCCTACCTCAGGGAGAAATTTGTTTCTCATTTAAGAATTTGGGGTACACTAGATGTTTGTCACTGAGAAATTTTTCAAGTAGGGAGATAGTTTCATTGACGGCTGTCACTCTTCCCTGGTAACTGAGGCAAGAGAGAGAAAGGAAAAAGAGAGAGAGAGAGAGAGAGAGAAAGGAAAAAGGGAGAAAGAGAATTTTGAAGGGATTTGAAAGGTGAGGTCTCCAAGTGAGAGTTATATATTGGGGGGAGGTACTAGAGATTGAACCCAGGGTGCTTTACCACTGAGCAACTTCCCCAACCCTTCTTATTTTTTGTTTTGAGATGGGGTCTCCCTAAGTTGCTTAGGGCCTTGCCAAATTGCTAAGGCTGGCCTCAAACTTGCAATCCTCCTGCCTCAGACTCCCAAGTCCCTGGAATGACAGGCATGCTCCACCACTTCTGGTCAGCTATTCATTTAAATTAAGTAGGGAATCTTTCTACTTTTCCATCATAAATATCACATGATCTGCATCTGGGTTAGAATGCAAGAAGAACTGACAGAGACAAGAAAGTCAGAGCCCCTAGTGTCTACCATATGTACCTCAAAGATGAAATTTGGTGGTCATGAAGGATTAGGGGTGAATCTAACACATAAGGAGGACAGCCTACATCCTAGGAACTCTAGGTCTTAGATGCTCCTTAACTTTACAATAATAGGGATTATTACTCTATATCAGAAAGAAAGAAAACCGAGGCTCAGAGGGTGTGAGTGAGCCATGAAATCTGGCTTTGAGCCAAATCAGTGAGCCAGTGAGCCTTTCTCAATCAAATTACATCTTTTTCTTTTTTTCTTTTTTTTTTTTGGTACCAGGATTGAACCCAGGGGTGCTTAACCACTGAGCTATATCCCCTGCCCTTTCTATACTTTGAGACAGAGTTGCTGAGGGTGGCTTTGAACTTGCAATCCTCCTGCCACAGCCTCCTGAACTGCTGTGATTACAGGTGTGCGCCCCCATCTTTTTCTTGAACTGACCTCATTTTCCTGCTCCCTCTGCTTTGCCTCTACGCAGGAACCCTCTTCCTAGCCAAGCAAATGTGAATGAAGTTTAAAGAAGCACCTGACTGCAGATCACTCATGTCATTTTATTGCAAAACCAAGTAACATGGCAGCCTAAACACTGTACTTGTCAGTGGGGTCCAAAAACAAACAACAACCAAAAAAAAAAAGCAAGGGACCACATCCTCAAGGAAGAAGTAGGACTCTCCTAAGTACTCACCTGCTTCTTGACATGTATATTTCCTTCCACAGGCAGATTATAAGCACTCTGGATCAGGTTTCTGGCAATGAAATAATAGTAGACGGAGATGATCGACAGTGGAATGATGTAGAAAACCAGAAAAGAAGCCATGGAGTGGATTTTGGGGTGCAGATCATTAGAGTGTGGATATGGGGCACAGCTAATGAAGGTCTGGTTGGTGCTTTCCTCATGGAAAGGATGGAGGTCAGAGAACACAGCCTCTGGGATGGCCAGCAGCATGGAGATGATCCAGATCAAGGCGGCTTTGATGCAGATCTTCAACAGGGCATGAGATGTCTGAATATCCATTGGCCGGACAATGGCTTTGTACCTGGAGCAAGAAAGAGGGAAAATTCTGCAGAAGTTGCCTACTGTCATTACGGATGCCAGGGCTGCGGGGACTGGGGTGTGGCAAGTCAGACACCGAGGTATAATACTGAAGGAGGTGCTCACTTTCAGGTTCATGAAACTCCCGACTGAATTCACATGGCCCTGACCATGAGTGGCTTCTTCAGTTTGACACCCCAAGCACGTGGCTTGCCTCATCTTAGCTGGGCTCTGAAGGATGCCTTCCCTTTATCCAGCAGTAACATTTGGCCCACATTCTTCCTCTTTCCTTCTCTCTTTTAGTTCAGAAATTTTCCTTTTTAAAATCTTTCTTTAATTGGCACATAAAATTGCACGTTTATTGTGCATAACATGATATTTCAAAATATATATACACTGTGGGATGGCTCCATCAAGCTAATTAGCATATGCATCACATCACATATCTTTTGGTTTTATTAGTGCATTATAGTTATACATAATAGTTGGGTTCATTCTGATATAATCGTACATGCATGGAATTTAATTCACTCCATTTCAATCCCTGGTGCCCCCTCTTTCCCTTCCCTCCTCCCTTCCCCAGCCTCCTTCCTCTATTCTACTGGTTGACCTTCCACTCATTTATTTATTTATTTTTAATTGGTACTTTACAGATGTTCATAAAGGCAGAATTCACTGGTATATATGCATGCATATAGGGTAATATTATCAAATTCATTCTGCATTTCCTTCTCTTTCCCCTCCCTCCACCTTCCCCTTCCATCTCCCTCTTCTACTCCACTGATCTTCCCTCTATCTTTATGACGTTCAACACTCCTCCTTTTTTTCCCCCTTACTTTGCTTTAGGTTCTGCATATGGGCTTCTTTTTTTTTTTTTTTGCAGTGCTGGGGATTGAATCTGGGGCCTTGCATATGCTAGGCAAGCACTGTACCACTGAGCCACATCCTTAGCCCTACATATGGACTCTTTGTGATTTTTAAGAATATAATACATTGTTATTAAGTAGAGTCACCATGTTGTAAAATTCACAGTCTCTCTTGCTTTTGAGAATACTTCACAGAAAAGCTGATGTTCCTTTCATTTTTCTCATTAAATCACAGAAATTAATAATGAAGCACATTACTGTTTAAAGAGACAAGGAGGTTGGTGTATCTTTGGCAAAAGCTTCATTTTGAAGATTCAAATAGAGTTCAAGGAATCTTAGGTCATCGAGTATTTTAAATATGCCCCTTTTTTTCTTTCAAAGGATGTGGAATTTCTACTGAAATTGTTTTACCCAGGAAGAGCCCTGTAATTGTCAAATTAATCATTCCCTTGCCCCCATACTCTTTCAGTGTTATCTTCTCTTGAAGCATTTAGGTCTTTACTGGTTTGTGAGCCATTTATCACAGATCAAGTGCTCTGGGAAGCAGACACAGGCATGCAGTTAAGAGTACCAAAGGTTTATTGGGCAGTAATACATGTGAAAGGAAAAGGGAGAAGGACAAAGGGGAATGAAGGGAAGGGGGGATGGGAATGGGAAAGACAGTAGAATGAATCAGATATAACTTTTCTATGTCATATATGAATACATGACCAGCATAACTTCACATCATGTAGAACTAAGATTGGGAAGTTATACTCCATGTATGTATGATATGTCAAAATGCACTCTACTGTAATGTATAACTAAAAAGAACAAATAAAAAATTTAAAAATTAATAAAACAAAAAAGAAAAGGGGGAAGGAAGCAGGATTGGGCAGAGGTCGCTGTCAGACATAATGCAGATGTCACAAGGTCTACACCTGCAAGGATGACCAACCATCCAGTTTGCCTGGGAATTTTCCAGAGTGAGCACTGAAAGGCTTACATCCTAGGAAGATTATCAGTCCTAGCAAAACAAGATGGCTGGTGGCCTTATACCCATCTAATAGGAAGTTTGGGAGCATAGATTGCCCAGTGGAGGAGTCCTGCCTTGGGTGGAAATGGCCAGCCACTTGTCTTATCACTTTGCTTAGAGATTGGCTGGAGTCATCCAAGAATAGTGTGACTTCTGTTCCTACCTGAGTCAGTCACTTGAACAGGAGCCACCCAAGAGAGCATGACCACAGTTTGAAACCTTAAGTGGACCCTGAAAGAGCTGATGGCCTCCAACCCCCTGCAGCTGGGCACATCTCTTCTTCCAGAAGGCTGAGCAGCACGACTCCATGTCGATCACAACTCCACATCCGATGCCCAGCAAACTGGACCACCATGTATCTTGTGTGTACTTGTCTAAGAACCCACAAGAGGCTGAGCCTCTGGTTGGTGAAGAATATATCTTTCTCCACCTTGACATGCACTGGCACTGAGATACGCGCACACTCCACAAATGATTCTTTTTTTTTTTTTTTTAAAGAGAGAGGGAGAGAGAGAGAATTTTTTTTTTAGTATTTATTCTTTAGATTTCGGCGGACACAACATCTTTGTTTGTATGTGGTGCTGAGGATCGAACCTGGGCTGCACGCATGCCAGGCGAGCGCGCTACCGCTTGAGCCACATCCCCAGCCCCACAAATGATTCTTCAATGAAACGTGAGCTGCCATAAAGTGGAAGTTGACATGAGTTGGGACCAACTAAATGTGAGGCTGTTCATGCTGAAAATACTGTGTTTGAACTGGGTTCTACTTGTAATATTTTTTTATATCATGTACTTCAGTGAGTCTACTTATTTCTATTCATTTCCATGTTGATCAGACTCCATTGAGCTACCAGTCTTGGATGCGCCCTGAATCCTCACTCACTTTCCACCTGCTGGGGAAAGGAGAGAGCTCTTAAGTGGCAAGTTTGAAAAACAAGAATCTGGTTTGTATATTGGGCTCAGGGAGGTCATCTACTGTCCCTGGCTAGGGGAATGGTATGTCTAATACAAGATACCAGAGTGTCAGCAAGTTCTGTATTGCTGTGGACCTAAAACATATTCTGGATAATAGCTTTATCAAATGTGGAAGCAATTATTCTGATTCCTTTATCTAGTTCTCTATTTTCAACTCAGGTAGGGAAGGCAGGGCTATGATTTACTCCATGATCTTAAAACCCAACATTTCAGAATAATACCCCAGTCTTGCTTCAATGTGCTTAATATTATCTTGTGCTTATTATTATCTTTATAATAATAATAATAATATATATAATCTTTATTTTATATATATTTATTATATATCTTTATTATATTTATCTTTGTTTTATATCTTTATTTTATATATCTTTATAAATGTATATATCTTTATTTTGTTTATTATTTTTAAAGATTTTTTAAAAGATGGACACAATATCTTTACTTGATTTATTTTATTTATATATATGTGGTGCAGAGGACCTAATCCAGTGCCTCACATGTGGGACACAAGTGCTCTACCCTGAGCTATAACCCCAGGCCTTGTTTATTTATTTGTATGCGGTGCTGAGGATGGAGCTTAGTACCTCACACATGCGAGGCAAGTGCTCTACCACTGAGCTACAACTCCAGACCCCTGGCTTTACTTTCATTTAAAATAATTAGTAAAATCACATAAAATTTTCAAAGATAAGTTCTATTTTGATCTAGTTTCTTTTCTATTCATTAATCATTTCAAACATTTTTATTCCTAACTTATAGTGTAGGCCAGGCAGGGAATCGATTTTTTTTTAAATTAGAATAAATGACCATCTTTACTTAATTATTTATTTTTAAATATTTTTTTTAGTTGTAGTTGGACACAATACCTTTGTTTTATTTATTTATTTGTTTGTTTGTTTTTTATGTGGTGCTGAGGATCGAACCCAGTGCCTCTCAAGTGTTAGGCGTATGCTGTACTGCTGAGCCCCAGCCCCAGCCTCAGCCCCAGCCCCGTAGAATAGGTGACCATCTTTAGCCAAAGGTATGTATAAAAAGGCATCAGTAGTATGTTTGTTAAAGATAACATGATAACTATGACTTCTATCTGCATCTTCTGGAAGATGTCAGTCATAAGTACCAGTAAGTCTCTGGTAAAGGTGACTCACTCATGCATGAGTAAACTAGAATCAACTGGTAATCCCATGTTCCTAAGTGCAAAATGCCTTGGGAACTATTGAGCTACCATTTCAAATTCATGACTTTTAAAACATAAAAGATAATACAAAAACATTTCCTTTATAGTTTTGCCAGAAAACAATTTGAATCTAAATCTAAGTAAGCCTCTAGTGATCATGACAGCCATGTTTGAACCAGTTTTCAGGAAATGTGGGAATAGAGGAACCTGTTAAATGATGCTTTGAGGATAAAATCAGCCAAATTCTAAATTGGAAAATTCTGTAAAAATGATGATCCCACTATTTTCAATAAATGCATGTCATAGAAAAACTGGGAGAATAGTTATAGACTGAGATATGTTAGACTTATCAACCCAATTCAACATGTGAACCCCTTTGGAATTTTCATTCAAACCAAATAACTGTTGAAACATATTTTTGAGACTATTGAAAAAAATCCAACATAGATGTAGTATTGGTGCTATCAAGGATTTATTTTAGTGTATTGAGTGAGATAACGATATTGTAACTATGTGTTATATAAGAGGCCTTGTTTATTAAAGTCAAAAATGTGCAATTAAAAATAAATTTTATTAAAAATTAAAAATAGAATGTAAAAATACATTGCAAGGACTTTTCTGTTATGGAATATTCATAACATATTAAAGAATCAAAAGAAATCTTTTTTAACAAGTTCTTGTTTTGTGCCAAGCAGATAATGACATCTACATTATTTCATTTATATTCCGGACAACCCCAACAGGTATGCATTATTAGCCTCATCCTGTGATGGGAAATTGAAGCTCAGAGTTGAGGAGGTGGTAGAGTCGACATTCAATTTGAGATCAATGCTTTTCAGGGTACCATAGCTCTTTCATTAAAAAGTTTGGGTAAATCTTTTCTAGACACAGAGAAAAAGATCAGAAACATCTCAAACATATGCAGAACATACTAAATGTTCCCTGAATGTCTAATGGTCCTATAGAGCATG